CAGTGCTTTCCTGACACTGTAGAGAAATAGATGGCACACACATAATAAGTTGCTCATCAGGTCTTCAGAGAGTGCTGGGTAGCTGTTTGACTAAAGTCGTTAATGCAAAAGGACTCCCCAACTTGTGGTGACAAAATAAACATATGTTTCACATCCATTCAAAGAAATGCATTCCTTTTTGAAGAAAAATACCTCAAAGATGATTTTCCTAGAAAGAAAAAAAAAGTCTTACAATGCTTTTCAGAGTTAGTCATTCAAAAACTTAGCTTAAATATTCACGCAATGATTTTTAGCCAAAAAATAAATAAATAAACAAATAGTCTGAGTCTATAGAAAACAAACTCCACAAATATCAATCCTATTCTTTGGCTGTAAAATGTATTTTTATATCTTGGCAGAAATACTATTCTGATCAAAATATAAATTCATATACTTAATTTGTTCTAATTTTATGTTGTTGGAGGATTTTTTTTAAGTTCTCTTAGAAAAAAAATTTCAAAATTGCATATTTAAAAAGAACCCGAAATGGCTAAAGAGAAACTAGTATAGAAAGTCTTTTGTCAAGACAATTTAAATAAATTGACACGCACCTGCCGCTCATTCTAGGTCTTCACTGGGCCTGCCTCCCAGCCCGCTCCCTGGACAGAGAGGCGCTGAGACCGCAGGGGCTGGCTTGGCCTTTCTGATGCCACCAGCCTCAATAAATGGAAATGGAGTAATCATGGCCACATGCAGCCAAGTAAGCCAGTTTGAGTGTTCATGCATTATTCCATAGCATTATGATGAGGGGACCGTGAGGAGCACATGTCTAGCTCTCATTGGTTCTCTGTTCTATCAGGCATTGAAGTGGCCTAAGCTCTCATTTTTTAAAGTCTATCTTTTCTTTTTAATATACCTAAATTATAAAGACTTTTCAATACAGTAAGTTTATAGTCGTCCTTAACAATTGAGTAGTAAATTCAGCCTACCAATTACTTTTCTGTATTTTTGCCTTTATAATAGTAGTTAACATCTACTGAAGGTTTATTTGTGCCAGGATTTCTTCTCAGTTCTTTCAGTATATTAGTTTATTTAGTCCTCGTTTAAGTAATTAATTCTGAGTCAGATGCTATTTATTATCTCCATTTAACAGATGTGGAAACCCAGGTACACTGATATGTAACCCCTCGTTGTCACACTTTGAGCCACTATGCTATGCTGCTTTACACTTTAGATTTTTAAACCTAACATTATACTGTTAATAAAAAGGAAAACCATATCAAATGATTCTGTTTAGTAGTTGATTCTTTTAAATAAAACTAAAAAACCTTTTATAACACGGTCTATGTGCCAAGCCTGTTGTAAGCTCTCTACACAGGTATTAATTCATTTAATCTTCACTCCAGTTCTGTGAGGTAGGTACCATTATTATTCCCATTGTTGTTGTTAGTACCGTTGAGTCAATTCCGACTAATGACCCTGTGGACAGCAGAGAGAACCCTGCCCTTTTTGCACCGTCCTCTCACCTTCCCGAGCTATATCAGACAGTGCTCCGCTGCTACTCAGAGAGTTTTCATGGCCAGTTTTTTCACAAGTGGGTGGCCAGGTCCTTCTTCCTAGTCTGTCTAGTCTGGAAGCTCTGCTGAAACCTGTCCATCCTGGGTGACCCTGTGGGTATTTGAAATACCAGTGGCACAGCCTCCAGCATCACAGCAACACGCAGCTGCCACCGTATGACAACTGACAGACGGGGGATGTGGTTCCTTGACCAGGAAAGGAACCGGGGCCTTGGCAGTGAGATCAAATCTTAACCACTAGACCACCAGGGCTGGCTATTCCCATTTTATGGGAAAGGAAATTGAGACACAGAGAGGTTGAGTAACTTGCCCGTGGCCACCCAGCTAGTAGGATAGAAATTCAGGGGTGGAGAGCAATGCATATGCTAATTATTGTAATTATTTTAACATTCTCATCCTGACACTAGTGTTCGCCTTTGAACAAATTAGTCCATCTTTCTAATTCTTAGCAACCTCATTTATAAATAAAGGAGGGGGATTCCATGGTCTCTAAGATCTTTGCAAATACTACTATGTATTTTGTACAACAAACCCTGCAAAGTCACATAGGAAAAAAACCTTGTTTATGCCAGTCTGAAGATTTACAGGCACACTCCAGCTTTTAAACTGGCTGTGCATTCTAACACTTCTCTGCATACCTCCAAGAATGGTTTCTGGAAAAGGATCTAGCAAGAAGCTAAAAATGCAGAAAATATTTTGATGGTCGCCAGAAATGCCAACTTCAGCTCAGCATCTGCCAGTAGGTCCAGATAATCCTCAAAACTCTGTGTAAATCCCGGCTCCACTATTTATCAGCTGTGTAACCTGGGCACGTACTCCATCGTTGTGACCTCAAGTGTCTTTCTCTGTAAAATAGGGATAATAGTAATCCTACCTCAATAGAGTTGCTGTGAAAGGGAACTGAGATAATATGTATAAAGCATGTAGAACAGAACTTGGCCCACAGTAAATAGTAAGTAAAAATTTAGCCTCATTATTGCGGAAGATCTCTGCTCCTACGATAGGGAAGATTGTATCACTGTGGCCATAATTGCAGGGGTCTCTTTCTGAGGTCTGATGAAAGCCCAGCTCCTCCCAAGATTTGGAAAATTGGGCTCATCCTTTTTCATCTTCAGGGAGAAAAATCCGGTTAAATTGCTTGATGGTTACGATAGATGCAACGCAATACGAGCTAAATTAGTTTGCTGAAGTTACTTAATGTCCATGAGATCAATATGAGCTAGAAGTTTTTATTTAATCTGATTACTATAATCAGACAATCAGTATTAAGTTTAGTTGATTAGTTGGACTGAATTTTCTGGTTTGTAAGGGATCAATACTATTCTGCCCACCCCTCTTTAGTTACACCAAGAGGTAATGCTTTATTATTTGCTCAGTGTCTCACAGTGCATTTTCTGAGGACTGGAAACAGCATTTTAGAGCACTAGAACCTATTTTTCTTTTTAAACAACTCATCAAACTCTCTCAGTACATAAATTGCCAGTATGCAAAGTAATGGAGAAGAAAAACTAGGGAAATTTGAAATTTTTTTTCTGTGTGAGGAAACCATTGAGACTGTTGAAATTTAACACTGCCTGCAGGTATGACCACACCTGCTTGTCAGTCTTACTAGTCGAAACTCACTTTTGCTATACAGAAGAGCCAAATAAATTAATCCACAGCTTTAAAGTCAGTTATCAGCTTAATGCAAGTTCAATCTGGGAATAAATTAGGTCCTTTTTTAAATTGATTACAGAATGTTACCCTAACCTGTAGTTTATGAAGTATATTCACTTCGCAAAGTTGTATGTGCAGATATGATATGATTATATCTGGGACAAAACAAATACCCTGAATTTAAGTGAAGCTTTCAGAGCTGAAGGCAACCATAGAGATGCTATCATCCACCAGAGGCCCAGAGAGGCAGAGATTCGCCTCAGGCTATGCAGATGATAAATGGATTTTCCAGATTTCAGCCTAGGCTTTCTAGAGCTCCAGTCAAGGGAAGGCCCATTCTTCTACAACGCACATTCAGACCACATATTATAATGATAATAATTACAATAATGACCATTTGTTGAGTACAACTCTGAGCCAAGTACTCTGCTCGGCTGGCTCTGTCCATATAATCCCTTGTCCCACCCATCACAGCTCTGTGAGGTGTGTCTGGTTCTCCCCACTTGGTGGATGTGATGACTGAGACTCGACGTTTGTGACTTGTTCAAGGCTACACAGCTGGCAAATGCTGAACACTCGGGTCCAGTCTCATTCCTGAATCTGCACTGTTTCTGCTGGACACTGCTTTGCCCAGGGGGCCTAATATGACCACATCTTTGACTGGATTTTCCTTTAAAATCAGTATTTTAACCTCCTGCAATGATAGCCTTGGCTGTGTGTAAATGGAGAACTTGTACCAGAATGGCTGAAAAAAAGTAATACCATTCCCAAGATTCTCAGCTCACACTCAAAGGATGAGGGCATCAGTATGTTACATTATTTGTCTACTGTTCTTGAAAATTAACTAAGTGACTTTTAATAAAATCAAGAGTAATCAATCTACCAAATTATTAAAACATTACCTTTTAGCCTATGTAGGACATGGATTCAAGATCATGAACTTAGAGTCAAAAATCAAAGTCAACTCCAAGAGGACAAAAGGGGAACATTAAATCTGGAGTTCTGCAAATTAACACTTTGAGGTAAACTAGAAATATTATGGAAAATAACTATTTAGTTAGTTTATTCTATTTGAAAGAGAAACTCCCAAATGTTCAATACTATCCTATATTTAAAAGTTAAAAATATACTGGAAATTGATTGAGGATGGTGCCGAGCACTTTGTGGGAAGCGAACCACAATCAGAGTAGCAGTGTCATAGCAAAAATATTTTCAATTTACCAGATGAACTGTTAACTGCTTTATGTGTTAGAAGCATTAGTTCCAGGGCAAAATGAGGCAGTATTATGTTTATCTGTTTGTTTGGAACTTCTTTTATTAAAAAAGATTTTTAATATTAATGCTATTTTCAATACAGGTGTGATAACAATACAGTGTGGTGTACTTGATACGGTGAATTTAGGGACGGAACAGTCCATCTCACGCTGGCCTCCTCCGTCTCCATTAGATACTCTAGTAGCAAAATGTTAATACCCTTTTGAAAAATAAAGAGGCCTTTGGGCAGCTGGAGGAGTAGGGTGGGGTGGGGCAAGGGAAGTGCTGTCTTCTGACACACACCTGCTTTCGGCTCTGACTTCACTCTAACGTCAGTTCTGAGAGAACTGACACGAACCGTTCTATGCTCTGCAAAAGCAGAGGAGGAAAAAAGCTTATCATTTACAAGCAGCTATGGACAAAACCAGAGGCAGAGTACGGGAGTTAGGGATCCAAAAAAAAAAGTTGGAGTAAAGTGCACATTTGCTGTCAAAAATATATTATTTTGATCCTAAGAAAATTAAGATTTTTATCTAACACACTAGATTGCTGACCTTTTGATACGTTTGGTTTTATGGAACATACCAGTCACCATTTGACATAAAAGACTAGTTTGCTCTTAAAAAATGCCTGGAGTTGTCTCCAGGAATCTCGTGAAGGAATTCAAGAACATTCTGCAGCTCTTTGGGTACTGGATGGTTTCCTCCCATAAGTCCACCAGGAAAGAGGAACTGTTCAATTCACTGATTCAAGTGGGCATTCCTCCCATTTCTCACTCCTTTCCTCTCTGGCTCCCTCTTTCCCTAAATGCCAGTACTTTCCAGTTCGTCCTCTACCCCAAAGGCGTGAGACCGGGAAATCATGAAGAGTTTCTCTCTGTTTGTAAACTGCCTCTGCACCGGCAGAGGCGGCTCGGCCGCGGGTGGCTCTTGGCTGGGACCCTCCGGGGGGCTCTGCTCCGCACCCGGGGCGGTGGCGGCCTCACAGTCTGGGCTTTTACTGGCTACTGCGTCCACAACAGACTCCAAGGAGGTGCCGGCCTCCCGCAGTGGGCTGTAGCTCTTACTGCTGCAGGACCGGTCGTCCGACAGGGAGCTCGGCGAGTCCAGCCTGGTGGGGGGCGAGTCCTCTGGCCGCAGCGGGAGCGAGGGGGAGGCAGCTTTGGCCGGAAGGCTCGAGTCCAGGTCCGCGCTGCCCGGAGAAGGCGGGGGCTCAGGGGCCGGAGGTGCCCGGTGGTCCGGGAGCCTGCTGGTGCTGCGGCGCCGCGGGGCCGCGAACCTGCCGGTCCTGGGCAGGCGGCCGCCCTGCCCCCTGGCGGTGCT